CTTAAAGGAACAACCATCAACTTTATATAGAAAAACAAAAGACCCAGGAGAGCCAAAACAACCCTGTATAATAAAGGAACTTCTGGAGACATCATCATCCCTGACTTCAGGATCTATCATAGAGCTATAGTCCTGAAAACAGTTTGGTAGTGGCACAAAAATAAACAGGTAGACCAATAGAATCGAATTGAACACCCTGGTATTAGCTCACACACCTATGAACACTTGATTTTTGACAAAGAAGCTAAAATTATACAATGAAAAAAAGAAAGCTTTTTCTTTTTTTTTTTTCTTTCTTTTTTTGTGAGGCAAGGTTTCTCTGTGGCTTTGGAGGCTGTCCTGGAACTAGTTCTTGTAGACCTGGTTGGTCTCGAACTCACAGAGATCTGCCTGGTTCTGCCTTCTGAGTGCTGGGATTAAAGGCATGTGCCACCAATGCCCGGCTTAAAAGAAAGCTCTTTCAACAAATTGTGCTGGCATAACTGTATAAGGGCATGTAGAAGACTGCAGATAGATCCATCTATCACTATGCACAAAACTTATGTCCAGATGGATCAAAGACCTCAACATAAATCCAGCCACACTAAACCTCTTAAAAGAGAAAGTGGGAAGTACCCTTGAATGAATTGGTACAGGACACTGCTTCCTGAACGTAACACCAGTAGCACAGAAACTGAGATCCACAATTAATAAATGGGACCTCCTGAAATTGAGAAGCTTCTCTAAGACAAAGGGCACAGTCAACAAGACAAAAAGGCTGCTCATATTTGATAGAGTGTTGATCTGCAAATTTACAAAGAACTTAGGAATCAAGTCTCCAAAACTTCAAAGGATCCAATTAAAACTTGGGATACAGAAATAAATAGAGAAATCTCAATAGAGGAGTCTAAAATATTTGATAGACACTTGAGAAACTGCTCAACATCAGGGAAATGCAAATAAAAACAATTCTGAGATACCGTCTTACTGCTGTCAGAATGGCTAAAATCAAAAACACTAATGACAGTTTATGCTTGAGAGGATGTGGAAAAAGGGGAACTCACCTCCACTGCTGGTGGGAGTGCCGACTTGTACAGGCACTTTGGAAATCAATATGAAAGTTCCTCAGTCAAATGGGAGTCAGTGTACCACAAGATCCAGCAATTCCACTCAGGCATATACCCACAAGATGTGTACTCATACAACTATTCATCTGTTCCACTATGTTCATACCAACCTTATTTGTAATAGCCAGAACCTGGAAGCAACCTAGATGCCCCTCAATTGAAGAGTAGATAGAGAAAATGTGGTTTATTTATACAAATGAATACTACTCAGAGGAAAAAAAAAACAATAGAATCTTGAAATTTGCTGGCAAATGGATGACCTTAGAAGAAACCAACTTGAGCGAGTCACAAAAAGAAAAACATGGTATGTACTTACTCATATATGTGTTTTAGACATGGAGCAGGGACTTGACATCCTAGAATCCCACCTCCAAAGAGTCTGGGAAACAGGGAGGACACTAAGTGAGATACGCATTGTACTCCAGAGAAGGGGAAAGGGACAGGATCTACTGAGTGATGTATGGTACCCCAGAGAAGGTGATTGTGAAAGGATCACCTGAGTGGACTGGGAACATGGGGGAAGGGGACAGGAAGTTGGGGTAAAGTGATGGGGAGAAGTCAAGAGGAGAAAAGGACACAGGGGAGCAGGAAGGTTGAATCAGTGGAAGAATAGAGGAGAGCTGGTTGAGAGATACAATAATGGAGGGAGTCATTATAGGTTTGAGGAGAGGTCTGGCACTAATGAGATTTCCAGAGATCTACAAGGATGATACCAACTGGCAATCCAAGCAATACGAGAGGCTACCTTAAATGCCCTTCCCCAATAATAAGATTGTAGACTACCTTGTATGCCATCCTAGAGTCTTTATCCAATTGCTGATGTAAGAAAAGGCAGACACACACAGCTAAACACTGAACTGAACTCCTGCAACCCAGTTTCAGAGAGGGAGGAGTAATGAGCAAAGGGGTCATAATAAGTTGGGTGAAACCCACAGAAACAGCTGACCTGAACCAGGTGGAGCTCATGAACCCCGGAGTGATGGCTGAGAGGTCAGCATGGAACTGATCCAGACCCCCTGAACGTGGGTGTCAATGTGTCAGTGTAGGAGAAAGCCTGTATGCCGCCATTAACCATGTGACTTACTAGAGGCGCATACAGATGAGGTAAGAGTGGTTTACCACACCCACTTTAGGCATGACTAAAGACGTATACGGACAGACATAAAGACGTATACGTACGTAGGCCGTGAACTATGTCACTAGCCAGGCCCACTTTTGGGCATGGCTAGGGGGCGTTACGGGGGAAGGCATAAAAGACAGCACACAGGAAGTCTTGGTCTCTTTTCCCGGAGTTCGGCTTCCGGTTCAGCAGCTGAAAACTACTTGGCTCATCTGGGTTACTTGTTTGGTATCTTGTGAGTAATTTCTACAATAAATACTTAGTTTTACTTTCAGTAAGTGTGTTGCTTATCATTACAGCGTCATTTGGAGCCTCATTGGTAAACTGCTCTTACCTCATCTGTATGCGCCTCTAGTAAGTCACATGGTTAATGGCGGCATACAGGCTTCCTCCTACATGTCAGCCTCAGGCACTAGATCAGTATTTATCCCTGGCACCTGAATGGACATTGGGAGCCCATTCTACATGGAGGGATGCTCTCTTAGCCTGGACACAAGGGAGAGGACATAGACCCTGCCCCAGATTATATGACATACTTTGGGGATCCCCAATGAAGGACTTACCCTCTCTGGAGAATCAAATAGGGATTTGGTGAGGGGGTTGGAGTTTTGGCGGGTCCAGGGGAGGGAGGGGAGGATGAGAGAGCTGGGATTGGATATATGAAGCAAGCTTGTTTGTAATTTAAATAAATTAATTAATTAACTCTGAAAAAATTAAAATAAGTTTATATTTAGCCCATTAATGAATAATGTATTGTTTCCTTTTCAATATGTTATTCAGAAATAAGAATTTTTCTACAATATCAATAATTAACCTATTGTGAAGTTTTGTATTTAAAATATCAAAACAATGCCATTTTCTTATGCCTTCCAGCTAAAAAGGAAGACAATGTCATCATGCTGGACTGGAGAAAGATCACAGGATTAAAGACAAAGTTCTTACATTTGCACCATGTGGATGCTGTTTATTGATGTCCCTTCCCCTCAGATAGTATTATGTCCCTCCTCTGGGATAATGAAGTGCACAGAAGATTTTGTGGAAGCAGCAATAACCAGCAGTCATTATTTAACCAGTACTGTCTAATTGACCAGTTGGTCTGACCAATTTACTCTGAGTTCAATATCTGTCCTTGTGGTAGTTAAGGATAAGCCTATTTAATGAAAGGGTTTATTATCAGTAAATATGTCTAGAAAGTAGAATAGAAGAAATCCAATCCTTGTTGTATCTCCCATCAGGAGATACAATTAAGGAGAAGAGCTCTCTGGGGAGAGATTGAACCATGGAACAATTACCCCTCCTAGGATATAGCTAGGCCAAATCAGAAGGAGGAAATGAGAGCTGGACAGAGACAATACCAGATAAGGGGCAGCATTGAGAAAGTGAACATAGTTAGTATGTGATGAGATAGTTCTGTCTGCAGCTGTTCTCCATGTGGGGTTCATTGTCCAAATCCCAATTCCATGAGGAATTTGCTAGGGGGGTGGAACTTGGCTTCTATGAGCTCTTTAAAAGGAGGAAGACTTCAGGAATGATGGTTGTGGAAAACTCTTTGGGGTACTTTACAGCAGCTAGAGGATCAATGATGAATAAAAATCCTTAGTATAATCTGTCCCTTATAGATTTCCCTCCAAACTTAACAATACTCACCACACTATAAGATCGTCACAATGAACTAATAAAACATGCCTTAATATGTAGAGAAATTGGAGAAAAATATATCTCTTGTTGAACTTAATCTTCTTTGTTTATTCTGGTGTTATTGCTGCTGTTTTGTTTGATTTGTCTTGTTTTTCTTTTTCACAATGAAGCCTCTTCAAACAGAACTATATTTTATTTGGAAATTAAAAGGAGAGATTCTTATTGGATGTCCAATGCAGTATAAAACTACGTGAGAGGCTGAAGGTGTGACCCAGGAATAGATCATTTGCCTACAGTGTGCGATTCCAGTTGGATCCTTACCACTGCATAAATGAATAGGAAAAACTAAATGCAAACTTTTTCTGCTTTCAGAGCCCCATCAGTACAGGACAGAGCTAACTGCAATTAAATAACCTATATGATCCGTGCAATACGTAAGTCCTCAGGGGTCATGTTGAATGAGTTTTCTACCTCTGTGCAAACTATAAACTAACCTTAATAAATGACTGGAATCACATTAGACAGGAACTGGTAGATGCCATCACAGACCACATGCTCTGTAATTCATTTCTTGGCAATATATGGTTATGGGAAAATCTTTTTGTATAATGTGAAGATTTGTACTCAGAGACTTCTTCAGGCTATCCACAGTGTCTCAGCTACAGCTTGAATTGCTGTCAGATCTTATATTGTCCTTGTGATATTGGGTTTTGTATACATGCAAAATATTAGAGATATAGGGCTATGGAACCTTTCTACAGATTTGAAAAGGATGACTTCTAAAAGGCTGAATGAAGTATGACAGTCACAGTCACTGGAGGGTGCCCAAACACACAATGGGTGTAAGCCTACTCTGAAACTGAGACTCCAAGATGTCAAAGATGTTGAGAACAAGTAATGTTTGTGTGATGAGGAAAGACACAGGAAGTCAGGGTGAGGCCATATGGTCTAAAAGGGTACATATACACATGCTCATTTCTCTGTATCTGTCTAGAGATAGAGATAGATATGATGCATGCATGATACTTTAACAATCACATCTGTTTAATGAAGCTATCCTTAGGTTTATGGTTTGTAACCAAATGGATTGGATTTAAAAGTGCCTAGGAGACAATAGAGCATATTTCTGTGTTTACCTGTTAAGGAATGTCCAGAGACGATTGGTTGATGATGGGAGACCTGACTCCAGTTGACTCCAGATCTCACACAGAATAAACAAAGAGGAGTAGAAAGCCAGCAATCCAGTAGTCTCTCACTTTACATCTTGCCCACAATGAGGTTCATAGCTTCTACTCCACGTTCCTTTCACCAAGATATTCTACCTTAACACAGGCCAGAAACAATAAAAGCATTGAAGGAAAACTCTAAAATCATGAGTCACAATCACTAAGCCTGGAACACTGGAACTTAGGTAAGAATGGTGCCTGTTCATGAAGCTGAATTTTGCTGGGGGTTGATCTTGAATTGGTCTTATCACACATCATAAACACATATTTTTCATTTTTAAGGTACTTAGCAGCCCAGAGTGTGCCTGTAACTCAGTTGAGACTTTAAAGTAGGACTTAGGGAGTAAGTTAAAACAATGGGGTCTATGGGCAATAGACTGAATACAATTTTCCTTATGAAATGTGCACAAGCCTGTGAAGATTAGGGCTACATATTTTGATTTAAGAAGTGTTTAAATAGCAAGTTGGCAATATGTGGACTTATAGTAAATCTTGATTTTTCAACATGATTGAGGAGATAAGTGCCTAGAAAATCAGCAAAACCTATCTGTGTGCATTCCTGTGACATTATTTCCTAAGAGGTTTACATGAGGAGAGGGAGAGCTCGCCTGATTATAGGTAGCATCATCCCATAGGATGGGGATTCAGGAAGTAATAAAATGAGCAAATAATAATAATTAGTAATATAGTCTCTGTCTCTCTGCCTCTGTCTATCAGTGTCTGTATCTTTCTCTCCTTATCCTTCCCTCTCCTTGCTCTTTCTTTGCTGCTATGAGGTGAGTAGTTAGGACCACATATTCTCACTACCTCACAACTGGTCCAGAAGAAACAGAATAAAAATACATGGCAGAAAAATCTGCAATCAAAGAAATTCCTCCCTTTAAGCATTCATCACTGAGAGGGAAAGTCTGGCTCATAGAGTAGCCATTATAAAAGTAAGTAAACTGTATGGAATGAAAAGTAAATTAAAATGTTGTGGAAAGGAAGTATTTGGTACAATAGCAGGCTTATAGCTAATTTTTAGTAACCAATCAGTAATCAGAAATGAAAGAGTATCAAACTATTATGTAAGCTGAAGTAATTCCAGTAACACCAGGGCTGGAGAGACATATCAATGCTTAAGAGTTCTTACTGCTTTTGCAAGTGAGCTTAGTCCTCTTTGCAATGCACATGTTAGACAGTTCACAAAAACCGCAACTCCAAGTCAAGAAAATCATACAAGTCTGGTCTGTGGGATACCTACACTAGTCTACATACCCACATACAGTCACACAGACATGCACATAATTAAAATTAAACAGTAATTCCTAAACAAAGGAAAGAAAAACAATCAACAACAACAAGAAATGCTAAGTAATGACCCTACTGCAGGTCAGTACTGGTATCCTTCATTCAGGATATCACTTACTTTCTTTGCAGGTAAGCTTTCACTGAATTATGTATGATTTATAAGAGCGCAGGATAGCTACTCATTTTACTGTCACTTCACATAAATGCAGCATTCTTATGTAGCATTTTGGTTTCTAAGGTTCATGTCCAGATACACAGTTAAAACAGTGTTAAGATCTCTTGGTTAACTGTAAAGTTTAACCAGGATCAAAATGGTCTTGTGTGGATAATAATCTCACAAGTATAATAAAGAGGGAGTTATTATATCCTTGTACATTCCTAAAACTTCACAGAAGTCTTTGAAGCTATCATATCACATAATGCTGAAAAGTTAGCAGCCATTCCCATCACTCTTATCAAAGAGATGGAGAAATTTTGGTTTTAAATACTTTAATCAACAGCAGTCATGGAAAGAGTCCCTGAGCCTGGCTAGAAACAGTTTTGCAGTGACAATTTCAAGTACATGAATTAGCACTAGAAAGCCAGAGGAAGTGATATAGGATAAGTGGAGCTTTCAAAACACTGACAGCCTCATCCCACAAGCTCAGAAGTAAGTGTGCTTTTTATAGGAGTTACTAGGGCAGTTGATTCAGAGCCAAGATTTTCTCACCAACTCTCTTCATATTTCCTACACTGAATCATTGTAGAAAATAAAAACTAACTGCCTGATTATAACCACATTCAAATTATTAATGGCATGATAACATAAATCTTCTTTTATTATACATGATATTAGAACATTATACCAGAGCAACATTACTTTTACCAGTTCTTACAAAGTGTATTTAAATAAACATGCTACAGCTGCCATTACTGCAGGTAACTTCAAATACTGTCTAGTAATAATTTTAATCTAATGGAAGGTTGTTTATTTGTAGGCTATAATCATAATAGGAAATAAAACTTAAAAACTAATTACACTGAAATTTTCCAAAACTACTTAAAGACTTTAACTCTTTTACATTTACTGTCTAATAATAAAGACACATACTTTATTAATATTGTTAATATTTTAATATTTTTGGTTAGCATAGAAAATGAATTTCATTCTGACATCTTCAGATTTTATTAAAGCATCTTGTACTTATTTCCATGCTTTCCTTCATCCAACTGCTGCTGAATCTTCTATGTAGCATTTTAGAAGCTTTCTGTGGAACTTTACTGTTTGATTATCTTTGACTTCAGTTATTGAAGAGGTGTCAACAGGGCTTATTTTCTAATATCTTCTGTTTGTTTCTTTGTTGTTTTATGTATCTATTGGGTTAGTTGTGTTTTCTGGCTTTCTTTTCCCACTTTTTTGACTGCTTGCTTTATCTTGTTTGTGTTTTGTGTGTGTGTGTGTGTGTGTGTGTGTGTGTGTGTGTGTGTGTGTGTAGCTTTTGCTTAGGCCTTAGGAGCAGCACTAATATTCAGAGGCGACCAGGCAACAGCTCCAGGAAGCTGATCTGAAAAGCCTGCTAAACAAAATGCAGTAAAGCACCCGTTTGCATTTCACTGAAACCCAGGAAGGCTTGGAAATAGAGGAGTGAGGTTAGTTATGCTAAATGTGCTTTAAGATGTTTTTAAGTGGGCAAGAGAAGGCTTAGCAGCTTAGAGGACTATCAGAGGACCCAATTGCAGTTCCCTGCACCAATATGGTGTCTGACAACCATCTGTAACTCCAATTCCAAGAAGTCTGAAACACTTTTCTGTCCTCAGCCTGCCCCTGCATATATGTAGTACATATAAATTCATACAGATACACACACACACACACACACACACACACACACACACACACTGTGCACTTAATGAATTAATACTAAAATATTTGAGACTAAAAGAATTCGTTTTGGGAGCCAGCAGTGCTAAATTAGTAACTGTGACAAAAAAAAGAGAGAGAGCAGAGAGGAAATGGTAATGACAGAATCATGAGAAGTAGTAGACGGTGTAAAATGTGCAGGAAAAAAGAATACTAATGAAAAGGCTGCTCCAAACAGTAAAGTTAAGACAAAACAAAACTTTAAATACCAACTTAAAAATGAAGAAAATATAAAATATGTACCATCAATGAGAAGAGCGCTTCTCAGATTGCCACGATGACAAGGCCTTCTCTCTACTCATGTTATATTTTCCAGATGATTCTGCCAGAAGACATGCAATTCAGTTTCCCGCACGAGGAGGTGCCGCTTTCAGAACTGTGCCCCTTCGTCCACCTTCGACATCCTTCTCTTTGGCGCGAGGATGATCAAGGTTCCAACGCGGGATAGTTTCAGGGACGGCTCTAACATGCATCCATTTACCGAGGGTTTTTGAGTGCTGTCGTCACACCAGACATCTAGCTGTATTTCTAGCAGCTGTGCTTTGTTCTTATCTGAATATCTGTTAGAGATACAGCTCACTCCTCCCAGTCATTTGTTTGTTGGAGTCATCTCTTGCCCAATCATGGGGGTGGAGGTCCCCTGTGACAGAGATGAAGCAGTGTCAAATGATGTAATTTTTCCCCAGAAGAGTGATTTAGCAAGGACCTCCCTCTTTCATTCCATACTGGGAGGAAATGAGTCACAGCCAATGTGTCTGCATCACAAGCAGAACTATGACATCATCTAGAAGACACCGCTGTCTGTTTACACATAGCCCATGCAGAAAAGATATCTGAAATTGTTAAGTATTTGAAAAGAAAAAGAAATGAAATAATTGATAAGTGAACTTTTCTTGATTTTAGAATTTTAATGTTCTTTATAATTGTATTATTGAACACTGCCATGTTTGATTACTTTATTTCCTGTGACTTCAGCTGACTTCATATCTCAATATTGAGTTGAGTAGCTATGATGAAGACCATTGTCAGAAAAACCTACCGTATTTACTACCTAGTCCTTTACATGAAAATTTTGCTAACCATTCTTATAGACAGATAATTACCCTAAATAGAAGAGAACTATAGCTACACAGCATAATTTTATACAATCCCCTTTCCTTCCTTCCCATTTCCATTCCCATTTTCCCTTGTGTCTCTTCCAATTTTTTTTCATAATCTTAATGACTCACTAATTCTATCAGCTTCATTTAACCTTCCAAAATGGAGATTTGTAGCCTTGAATCCAGTGCTAGTCCACCTTCCCATTTGTAATTTCTCTGAGATTGGTTCTATCCTTTGATAATGCTTCTGCTCTCTTCAACCTCAAACACTTACCGGGATTTATAGTTGCTCCAACTCACCAGCATCCCACCTCCTCTTCTCCATCCTTTATGCAAATTGATACATTTCTCAGGAGTCTGCATTTTACTTTAAGACAAAAAAGAAAAAGTGACATCTTTTTACTGACTTTTAATATACAAATCACTTTGTTATAATAAAATCACAAATCTAACATCATCTACCAAGTTTTACATAGCCACTCAGACCAATATTTGCCAGTCCTAACTATCTCAATGAAGTGCTGTAGAGTTAGAAGAACCACTCTGAAGCCCTGGAGCTGGACATCACTTTTCTTAGGTGTTTGCTCTCCCACTCTCCTGCTATGACCTTTACCCTTGCTGTCACTCTCCACTCCTCGTCTCTCCTTACTCACTTCATCCTTCTCTGTCTGCCTTCCTTTCAGTTTCACGCCTAAGTATCTTTTTTGGGGGGATGATTTCTATGCTTTCTAAATGTGAATGCCTAATCTCTAAATTATTGCATGTTCTTTAATGATTAATTGCCATCTTTTATCTGTGGGTTTTGACCAACCCTAACAATGTTTTCAATTTGAAATTGCTTTATTACTGTATTTTACTCCAAGATTTTAAAACTGAAGCACAATAATACAGAAACCAGCACATATGTGAAATATTGCTTAATATACAAGGTCTTTGCAGCCTATATTTTTAATTTAGGAGAATTTATTAGACTATGAAAGAGAGAGAGAGAGAGAGAAGTGGGGGGAGAATACCATATTTGAAAGCAATAACAGAAAACATCAACAAAGTTCTGGTCTGACATCTGTGTTCCAGCTCTAGTCTCCAGATCTCAGTGGAATGAAATGGTGGAATCAGTGCCACGGCCATCTGTACCAATTAACTGAATGCTAATGTTCTTGCTGCAGCGCGTCCTCTGGCTCTCTGCAACACAGTAAAGTGCTTGAAAATTCTATTTGCCATTCTTCAAAAAGGGGAATGAAATATTGACCAAGGCTATAACATATGAACCCACTCAATTCAAAGCAACTGGGGGAAATTAAAATAACAAATATTTTCAACTAAGAGATAAGGGGGTTGGTGGCCTATCAATTAAGCATAATTGTAGACAGTTGTCACTTCCTTAGTTGGGTGACTGGAGAAATCTCTTTATCTTTGGTCATCCAATGGACAGAGTCAAAAATATTAATTGACTACATTGATGTGTAATCATGGGTTTAATACTCACGATTCCTTATGCTGTTTTCCAATGCCATGTATTTCTGGGTTTATATTGATAATAATACTATTTTTTATTATGGGTTGAGAACTATTTATGTTTATGTGAAAAATGCTTCACTTAACTTGGGTATGCAGGGCTGACATCAGGTTGTAGAAGCTGATAAACTTTGGCATGCTACCACAGACAATAAAGCCATGCCTTTAGAGTGATCCTAGGAACAAGGGAAAGCGCAGTACTTTATGCTCTTTTAGAACTGTTCTTCATTCCTTCTGAAGTCACCAGGAGACCCGTGGCCATTTTACTCAGTCCACTGTCTATCAGATGCTTGCCAGTGTTTGCAATTTCATACGATTGTTTTTCCAATGAAAACTTTCTATACCAAACTAATCAGACCTCATCCATCAAAAATCTGTCGTACAGTAGGAGGGTAAAACACAGCTTTCCAAAGATGGAGAGAGCATTCCTTCCAACACACTGCTACACTGAAGAAAAATAATCTAAGTTAAGGTTTAGCTTGCTTCACCAATAAAACCTTGCAGCAAAATCAGCAGGGAAATTGTGTCTGCCAGAACTCAGTTAGAGTGATAGATATAGATACTACAATGTGGTTTCTTTCTAATTGTTCTGTCATTCAAAACATTTGTTGAAAGATTAATAAAGAAGGAAAACACGTGATACTTAAGAATGAGGAAAGGCAGAAATACAAAGTGAAAAACAACCTATCCCCCAGTCGCCCGTTTCTTTCAGTATTGCCCTTGTGTCGGTGAATTTCAATATTGTGTTAAGTACAACTCTGTTGTACTATAATAATAGAGTCTTTCAAAATACCAGAGACTAGAACATGAGTTGGGCCTCCATATTTTATGATGTATTTCCCCAGGCAGCCCGGCTTACTGCACCTCATCTCACTCGACTTTAGCTGTAGAAGGAAATATTAAGAGTTTCATCACTGCCTGAGAGGTGAAATACATCTCCGAAGGCTCCGTAACAACAGGAATGGAGATATTATAAAGATTTCACATGGGAATTGTAATAGCACTCCATGCTTATTTTCAGGTTGAAGAACCAATGCAAGGAAGTCTGCTCGGTGAGAAAGTTTCAACCAAATAGTGTTATCAGTGGTTTTAAATACAATCTAGAAAATCATGAAGTATCCCTATTTTCAGGTAATGTAGCCAGAAGCAGGTGATATTCAAATATAAGAGTAAAGAAAAAAGACCAATGTAATATAATTTGGAGAATAAACTCTTTTTCTGCTATTATTGTTGTTGTTGTTTACATTAACCAAGGAGTTTATTAAAGAGGGGGAGCTAAAGGTGGAGGAGAGAGAGACAAAGTGGGGAAGAGCAATAGAGCAAGAGAGCAAGCAGACAGAGGAAGGGCAGGAGGACAGTGCAAGGGGAGGGGGCCTGTCTGTTAAAGAGTCCTTTGCACCTGCTCGCACACTAGCACTCATGGAACCCTGGGCTGACCGGAATACTGCCTGAGTGCATTCTGTCAGTTAACAGGGGCAGGCCAGCATAATGCCTGAATGTATACATTCCCACTTTTACTTATGACTAAAAAGGTGAGTAGTTAGGCATGGCAGGTTAGATAATAAGGACGTCAAGTTCTCAAGACTGCTTCCTGTTGACTTGGGGGCACTGACCATATTGTGAAACCTGAGAAAGCTGGAGTTCTGCCCTGTCCTAGGGTAGCTGATTGTTTCGTTGCAGTCCAGGCTATATGGAACTCTATGGGGCCTCTTACTCCTGGAAAGATGGTATAAGCTCTTTGACATTTGATTTCCTACCAATAATTTTTCCTTTAATTGCATACACACTAAATAAACCTATTAGATGGACTTGTAGGAAGTAGGGGTTTGGTATCTCCTACATCAAACCCTAAAGTCATTAAAACCGGTATGTTTTTAGATTTCAATCAAAACTTCACAGTTCCAAGATTAGAAAGAATTGTCTTCTGTACTATACCTATGACAGTGTGAAAACATCTTTGCATTTGCCACTTACAAAGATAAGTGACCCAAGCAATGACATACATGCACAGAACAGGTTTCAAATAAATGGATTATTAATCATTTTTAGAAATAAAAATAATACCACTTTTGGAAGCTTGTGTTTCCTAATCTTTCATTTCTCTTAATAAAATACGTCCCCTCAATTTCTTTTTAACCATTTTCTGGTTAGTTATTTCTAGAATGCTAACCCCATTTAATTATTTATCTAATGTTACATGTTAAACTATGTGTCCCCATAATTCATATTTTGAAACCTGAACTCATGGGACCAAGAATAAGATCTTAACTAGAGATTAGAGTCAAGTTAGTGTGATTTTACCGGAACATACAATAATGTAATTTGAGTCTTTATTTAAAAGGGAAACTCAGAGACAGATACAACACAGGGAGAGAGAATATAAAATGGTTCACTGTTGCCAAAATTTATCACTCTTCCCGTGGATCTGCGTAAAGAAATATTTCTACAAGTAACTTTACATTGGGTGTGTAGCTTCAGGGTCTTTGAGATTATATATATATATATATATATATATATATATATATAGTATATATCATATATGTTGTTAATTATGGAATAAGAACCGGCATGATGGATGGAGCACAAGCCATGGAGAGCATATTAATCATAGTTTATTATAGCGAGACTGAAAGGGGGGAAGATGATGAGAGAGGACAGAAAATGAGAGAGTAAGAGAGAGATGACAGAGAAAGTACATGAGGCGGGAGAGTGAGAGTGCCCAGTCCTTATTTCATAATTAACAACATTTGACGCCATGCCTCCACAGGTTTCCCAGCATCTCCTCCTGCCTTAGCTTTAACTCAGATGCTGACACCTGAGAACTTCAACCTGGTCGGTTTTCCAATAAGGATCTCTGGATTCTTCCATCCACCATTGCCATGCCTGGCAAGCCCCTCTCCCCTCCCCCCTTGCTTCCATGAGTTAGGACATATGGATTGCTTTGCTTTTCAGGCTGTTCTCACCCTTGGCCATGATCTCAGGTTGACTAGCTCTGAGATGGTACTGAGCCGCCTTCGGCCCCACCCATGGGAAATAACTTACCGTGAATGAGGTCCATCATTGCATTCCCTGAGCAGTATGCTTTGGCTTCAAACCTTGGCGGTTTCACTGCCTTTTCGGGCTTCTGTGTCCTGTCGCATTTTGGACCCTTCCTGCCCTTGGCCGACATCTCAGGTTGATGAGTTCTGAGATCGCATCGAGCCATCTTCAGCCTCACTCACAGGAAATAACTTCGATGGATGAAGTTTTGGCTACAAGCCTTTGGTGATTTTGCCTTTTTGGATTTCTGTGTCCTATTCTCTGCCTCTCTCATGGAAGTTACCCCCCCCCCCCATATCAAACCATGTGCCTGCTTTTCGGCACCCCCATTCTACCAGTGATCCGTGGTTAGAAATGCAGACTCTACTCTTCCTCACTTGTCTGGTTTTTCTGTTCCCTGCATGCTTTAATTCCCGCAGGTCACAGAGGCTTCCCGCTGCTTCCCATCATGGCTAAAGCTGAATCAGTGTCGGAACCGCCTTCCACCTATGAATGTCCTGTCTTGTCTCTCCTGCTTTTTCAGCATGGAATGACAAATTCCTCTTTTACATCAGCTTTGCTTCTACCGCGTTTCTTCTCCATACAGATGCCTCCAGGTCACAGTGGCCTGGATTGGGTTAGTGTCTACTAGGGATGCTCTGAGAGTTTTCCATTTTTTCCCCACAAAAGAGGTTTGAGGTGCTCAGACCCATGAGGGGTCTCTCGGGTTTTATACCCTGGCACTGGCCATTCATTCATCTCTTAGACCTATTGTGGTCACACATCTTTCTGCCTCACTCGTGGAGAAAAAACACCACTTCTGCCAGCAGATGGAAATGTGCCTATAGAGGCCGCCATCTGGGCTATCTTAACCATGCTACCTAACATGCAGCCTAGCTTGGAAACGAGTTTACTGAGGCCACCATGTTTACCGTGTGACCTAGCTGTAGGCATGCCCACTCAGTCTAGCCCCCTTCTGCAGGCCAAGCCTGCTGACAGATACAATTCATTTACTTTTTGTCTCGTTTACACTTTTATTTTTGCCTCTAATTTCTTCCTTCACTGGCCCTGTTGCCCATGGCTTGTTTACAGAATACTGTGCCTTTCCAAGGTCCCCTGTTCTATCTTCCTTCTCATCACTGAC